TATACTTTTTCAGGTACATTAAATAACTACCGATGGAATACAACTGGTATTACCGTACTGGATATATCGTTTTTATACACTCCTAGTGATATATATTTTGATTCTAATGACACATTGTATATAGTGGATGAAGGAAATGCTGTTATAGCCAAATTATTGAAAAACGCTTCAACTGCAACTCGTATAGCTGGACTTCTGTTGTCAGCTGGTTCGAATGCTAGTCAATTTAATGCTCCTCAAGGCGTTTATGTTGATTCGAAAGCAAATTTGTACGTAACCGATTATTATAATAATAGAGTACAAAAATTTGCGAATGGATCAACACTTGGAATAACTATGGCAGGAATAAATAGCTCAGCTGGCGCGGCATTAAACCAATTTAATGGTCTTCGATATTTTGCAGCGGATGCAACGGAAACATATATGTATTTTACAGATGCAAATAACCATCGCATTATGTCATATCAAATGAATTCAACTACAGGTACTAACGGACAACTTGTTGCTGGAGGTGCCGGAGTTGGAAATACGAATACACAATTGAATAATCCTTGGGGAATTTACTATCTATCAACAATAAGTAATTATTTATATATAACTAACTGGGGTGGTCATTCAGTGATGCGATGGATACCAGGTGCATCGTCAGGCCAATTTATTGCCGGCACACCAGGTACATCAGGATCAAATGCGACAAGTTTGAGTAGTCCCACAGGTATTAGAGTTGATAGTTTTCTGAATATGTTTATTGTTGACAGTGTAAATAACCGAGTACAAATGTTTTGTAATAATAATCAAACTGCTACAACAATTGCCGGTAATGGCACTGCCGGTAATAGTGCTACACAGCTTAGCGGACCAAGAAGTCTCGCCTTCGATTCATCGATGAACTTGTACGTTAGTGATACAGCAAATCGTCGTATTCAGAAATTTGTTAAACTCTAAAATTTATAAATAATGCACAACATCACTTTATATGACGTTTTAGAAGAAAAAAACACGTTTTTATTTTGTTTTAATCTTGTATTTTATTTATTATTGATTAAATATTTTTGTAGTTCTATTCTTATCTATATCTTTATTTTTGTTTGTGTTTCAAAATCTTTTAAGATAACAGAATAAAATGTAAAAAATAGACAAGATGATTTGATTTGAAGGTTAGTTTTAGTTTTCTCTTGAGTTGATCATCACCGTTTCACTACAGAGAAAAAGAATTAAGTTTCTTTTGAATAAAACTAAATCGAAATAAATAAATGAACGGAAAGCTTGTTTGTTTTTCTTTGAAGAATTCATTATTTTGATCGAGTTTCCTAGCAAACATATATATTGTGTGCAACTCATGCCATTCTTTTTACTTTATTATAATGCTAACGTAAAATTCCACATTCACTAGAAGAAATTCTACATAATCTCACAGTTACTCAGTTACAAATAATACTCATTAATTCCAAATCAAACACTTATTTCTGACGAACAATCCAGAAAGTCTCTACCCCTCAAACAATTTATGCATCAAAATATATTCCAATCTCAACACACAATCGCACTTCACGTACACAGATTCTATTTCAACAAAACACATTGAATAGTATTTTTCTTGCCAATATTCTTCTTTTCACAAATACTCTCTGACGCTCATTAATTAATTTAGTTAATAAGCAGGATATCGATCGACGACTATTGATAACATATGTCCCTTCTCAAACAACAAGATTCGATTATATATAATCTCGTAGTATACTATAATCGACGATCAACGATCACAAATATCACTAAAAAAGGCTTTATTTATATTTGACTACGATGATGCAAAACAAAGAAACTCATCCACAAATTCATTAGTATTTTTTTACTAGTGATCAATATATCGCCGATATCAACATTCACAACCTGGCACTGTGTTGCTCCACGAAATGAATCCATCAATTTTTTTCTCGAATTTCACTCCGTTTCTGCCCGATAGATCTAATGTAGTAAGTGTCTGTATACAAAAGTGCATATGGATATACGAAATAGATGAAGAAGAGAATGATACTTACCTTATTATTTCTAAATGCATCTTTTAAATGCTGTACTCCAACAGCTCCGATTGGATTCAATTCGAGATTTAATTCGGTAAGTATCTGCACGAAGAAGTGCAGGTGAATAGATGAGATAGACGTGCAATAGAATGATATTTACCTTGTTATTTCGTAGTGCATCTGCTAGACGCTGTGCTCCAATATCTCCGATTCGATTGCTGCCGAGGTATAATGTGATAAGTGTCTGCATGAAAAATTGCACACGGATATATGAAATAGATGAGTAAGATGATGATAACTACCGTATTATTTCGTAATGCATCTGCTAGATGCTGAGCTCCAATTTCTCCGATGTGGTTGCTGGCGAGATATAATGTAGTAAGTGTCTGCATAAAAAAGTGCATATGGATATAGGAAATAGATGCGAGAGAGAATGATATTTACGTTATTGTTTCGTAATGCATCTGCTAGATGTTGTGCTCCAATATCTCCGATTCGATTGCTGCCGAGATATAATGTGGTAAGTGTCTGCATGAAAAATTGCACATGGATATATGAAATAGATGAGAAAGAGAATGATAATTACAGTATTATTTCGTAATGCATCTGCTAGATGCTGTGCTCCAACATCACGGGTCGGATTCCATTCGAGCTTTAGTTTGGTAAGTGTCTGCATTAAAAAGTGTAGATGAATATATTATGAAATAGATGTAGAAAAGAATGATAGTTACCGTATTATTTCGTAGTGCATCTCCCAGGTGCTGTGCTCCAGCAGCTCCAATTTGATTGTGGCCAAGATTCAACTCGGTAAGTGTCTACACGAAAAGGTGAACAAGCATATATGAGATAGATGTAGAACAGAGTAATATTCACCTTATTATTTCGTAATGCATCTCCTAAATGTTGTGCTCCAACAGCTCCGATCTCATTTAATTCGAGGTTTAATTCAGTAAGTGTCTGCATGAAAAAGTGCAGATGGATGTATGAAATAGATGAGAAGAACGATAATTACCGTGTTATATTTTAATGCATCTGCTAAGTACTGTGCTCCGACATATCCAATTTGATTGTCCACGAGATTTAATGTAGTAAGTGTCTGCATGAAAAATTGCACATGGATATATAAGGTAGATGTCGAACAGAATGGTATTTGCCTTATTATTTCTTAATGCATCTGCTAGATGATGCGCTTCAGCTGCTCCGATTTTACGCCATCTCACATCTAATATGGTAAGTCTCTGTATGAAACAGTACAGATGAGTATACTGAATATATAAGGAAGGACGGGAGTTATCGTATTGCTTTATGAGACGTTAGTCAAATCGTGTAAAGAAGGATGAAGGTAGAAAAGTGAGGTATTTCGTTTTTTGCAAATCTTCACCTCCGAGAGTTTAAACATTAAGAAAAATATGATGAGAGAGAAGAAGTTGCTCGTGTCATTGCGGATGAAATTGATGATCAGATATTGCTCGACATAGTCACCTATTTTTCGTGAATGTTCAATAATATTCAATTAAACAAATCAGATTGGAGAAGCATCTATCATATTATACGTCAACGATTTGTTTTGATGTTTAGCTGTGAGAAAAGCATTTAGAAGTTGGTAGTTCCTCGATAAGTTTTGCTGTATATCTGTAAAACGTTATCTCATCGAATCGTAGGAATTCAAGTTGTTCTTAGCTGTGCAACTGTTTAAAATCTATATGTATTATCTCTAAGTGTGATAACATTTCTTTATTCTGGCATCTATCACTAATTAAATCGAAGTGTAGCCTGTGTGAAGTAATATGTATTCATATGCAATGAAAAAAACTAGTAGTATGTAATATAATATTATAGAACTCTTCAAACTGCAAAATCCATCAGACTAAGGATAATTGATTTGTTTCATCTACAACTCCTATGAGGTCTTCAGTCTTTACCAAAAAGCTACTTTCAACACGAACGATATGTCAATAATAGTGCAGATATACAGGTAAAAGTAACTTCTTCTTTCCTTTCGTTTCTAAATATTGCATATGGACGTGTAAAAACGATGTGGAAGTAGTGGAATGTTCAGAAAAGAAAATACTGTTTTTAAGTATAGTCTTACATTTCTTTTCTAATGCTTTGGTGCTGTATATAAATTGTTTGAGGAGATGAATACTTGACAAATTACTATGTTTCGTCATTATTTTATTCACGCATTTTCTCAGAGATATAGATTATACGAATAGAAGGTAATTCGAAGATATCAGAAAGATAGATAATCATGATTAAAAAATACTTTACTTGGTATCGATGATAACTGTTGAGGATTGTATTGAACCGCTGACACACATTTTGCATTGAGCACAGCATTGTAAAATCAGTCTGGTGATCCAGAATTCGGTAGACAAGTTCTACCGGTAATGTAAGAAAAGTAAGAGGCATTTTATTCGGCCTTGGCTAAAATATATGTGATGGTTGTGTGTGGCGTTTTATGTGAGTTTTTATTTGTGATATATTATCAGTTTGTCAATGTGACGAAATTACTTATTTGAAGAAAGAGAATCCAAAATGATGATGACAAAGCCTACACTGAGATAAGAAGTAGAATTTATTTATTTTTTGGTTAAGTCCTCATGATACAACGACATACAATAGAAACAAATATTTTGTTGTTAACTCGATGGAGTTTACTTTTTCTAACATTGTATTTGATTATTTCATGACAAAATCAAATGACAGAATTATGTGAAATAAAAGCAAAAAACAGTATTATTTATGGATTGTGGGTATGCATCTTCACTCAAGTCAAACCTACACCCATCCTCAAAACTGTTAATTAAGTTTGTAGTACTGTGAATTCTTTCATCAATCTTTTTATTTCATAAACTTCAACATAGCACATTTTCAAAAGATTCTCTGGAAATCTTTGAGTGTTCTTCTGTGATTGTTATATGTTCTAGTAGTCTTTCAAAAAAGGATCAGCGAATCCAAACGCTTCATATACTGACTCGTTCAGTCAAATTCTTGCTGCAGTACAATGATTAAGTATACGTCAAATATTGATTTTACGTAAGAGCGAGGATGATTAGAACTTAATACTCAGAAATGACCGGATAATACCAATCATATTTTTTTAGATTATAAAGTCATATCAAATTTCTTATAATTCATATGTGACCTAAATCATGATCCTGTTATATTTTGCTTTCTCTTCTTCAAGGATTTTTCTTGACTTGATATCTGTCTTTGGATCATTTCTTGAAAAGATAAGAAATGTCTGTAAAAATTTATTAGTTTTAATATTTTTGTCTTGTTTATATTTGAAATTAACATGAAAAACAGATAGAGAATTCATTTATTAGTCAATCAATATTTATGAAGTTTTCTTGTCATCGATTGACATGATAAAATTCATTATAATAATAATCTAACTTTGAAGTTCATTGGTTTTGAAATATAATTGATTAAAAAATTCGATTTGTTTTTATTTTGAGTTGTCTTTTAAATAGCACATCCTAATCGTCCACCATATCAATATGATCGTCCGATGGATGCAAGAAAATACAATCATAAGAACACAGAGAAGAAAAGAAAAGGTATTAATACACCAGAAGACAGAAAAAGAATGGGAGAGCGCAAAAAAAAAGCACACACAAAGTTCTAGAAGACAACAACATATATTAATAGACCCAACAAAAAAAATCGAATAATGATGGAACCATTCTGAGACACGAAAAAAGAAGAAGAAGAAGAAAACTGAGTATTATCATACAACCAAAGACACAACACATTGACATAAATATGTACAATATACATGCACACATTGAGAGAGAAAGAAAAATACTCGAACGGCAAAAGAAATAGAATAATTAATTTAATTTATGCAAATACCATCGTTATTTAATTATTTTTATTCCAATAAAACATACAATCTGACAACAATGATATTGTTTTGTTAGTCATTTCATCTTCCACCACTTGTTATATATTGATGAAAATTGACACCAGGCGTTACATTTATATCTTCAAATGCTTCTGTTTGTTCAACATCAACAGCTTGCAATTTTTTAAGTACCAATAATGTATAAAATTTTTGTGCTGTTAATTTTCTTGTATGATAATTTGGATTACCAGATGAAAGATGATCATGAAATGAAAGTGCATCAGAAGAATCAAATGCACGTTCAAATGCATTTAACATTATTTTCGCACGACGATTTAATTTCTTTCCGGATTCAAAATCCTAAAAAAATAAATTAAGTTTCGGTTCCTTTTTTATGAGTATTTTAGGAAAAGATCAAAGAGAGGACGATTCTCTTTGCAAGAACATAATTATAAATAGAACAATCTCATTAAGACAAAATCCACGAGACATGAGTAATAATTCTAAGTTTGAGATAATCTACAAAAGTGTCATTCTTATATTTTATGTAGATGTGCAATACGTTCTTAACCCTTTCAGTCCCACGTCTCAACGAATGGACAAAGTTTCTTAATAATCTCATATCTAATAAGAGTAATGCATATTGTCAATATTTTCAGCGGAACTGTTAAAAAAACTTTTTACAGCCATTTTCGAGCTATGTCCCTGACCCCCTACGCGGAAGGTAAATAAGGTTTTTCACTAGGTATCATTTCTAACTTGATTCTAACATAGAAAACCGAATTATTTTGCATGTCGTAAGAGCGCATCTTCACCTGTTAGGATACTGATGGTACTCCAAAAACCTAGTAAGTCTAATACCCGAGATGGCTTATTAAGTTTGTAGCTTTTACATAGATATAGCTACCGAAATTCGCATCTCAAAATCTGTTGGCGTTCATGAGTTATTTGAAAATCACGAAACTTGAAAACACCGTACTATATTTAGTACAGTGGGACTGAAAGGGTTTATGCTTATATCCATTACGATTTGTTCTACAAGAACGAAAAAACGTACCTCTTGTGCTGTCGTTGCTTGTCCATGTTCTTCATCATCTTCATCTTGTTCTTCTTGATTTTCTTTCGTTAAATGGCCCATTCCTTTTTTACGCCGTGTATTTGATGGTGTACGTGATGGTGATGGTGGTAATTGATTAAGTTCATGTACTTTTCGTCCACTTTTTCGTGTTGGTGACATTGGTGCTGGTATAACATCTATAAGATTATCCATTGATGTTGTCATTGGTGGAAAAAATAATGAATCACCCGGTAAAAATGAATCAATACGTTGACGTTTATCAATATTTGATTCTTCACCTGGTGATAAACTACGTTTTTTAGAATGATTTGCTGAATCATGACCTAAAACTTCTAAATAATGATGATGTGTAGCACGCATTTGATCAATTGATGAATCATCTTTATCACGTTCAAGTTGTTCCATAGCAAGATCATGTTGAATTTGATAATTATCCGGTGACATTTGATCTAATGCTTTTGTTATCATATTACGTGTGATTAACTAAAGAAAACGAATGAATGAATAAAAAAATTTAATCCTTTTTTATTTACTTGTTGTAATGTCTTTGAATACATAGATGTAGCACTAAGAGAGAATAATTTTTCAATTCCACCGGTTTCTTTCAAGTGCATTAAACGACGTGTTGGTGGTGCTAATTCAAGTACACCAACAATATCTGTTGTATCACTTAATTGTGTTTTCATTGCTCCACTATCAATTTCTTTAACTTCATCAACAATTAATTTTCGTTTACGTTTTGCCGCTTGTCGAGCTGCAGGTGTTTGAGCTTTTTTAATAAAATAAAAATAGAAATAAATGATTGACTAGTTTTCCTTTTTATACCTGTTGTTGAAATAGGTGGTAAAACGAATTCATCTGATACATTCGATAGAAGAGTAGTATCATCAGCACCTGGAATGTGTTGTAAACCTTGATTTGTATCATCAACATCCATACGATTATTTTCAGCAGCTAAAAGAAAATTTATTGCTTGAATAAAATTTGTTTTAGAATTACCTTCATTTTGGTCACCAGCTGGTGCTTCATGATCGTCAAGTGTTGGTAATGCAGGATCATTGTCACCTTCTATAAAATATATATTCAATTTTTTTGTTTTTGAAATAAAAATATTAATTTACCATGAAATGGTGACATAACATGATCATAATGATCTTTTGGATTGGATAAA